ATAGATGCAGGAAAAGCATTTGACAAGGTAAAGCATCCTTTCTTGATTAAAAAAAAAAAAAAAAAAAACTTCAACAAAGTAGGGATTGAGGGAACATACTTTAACATCGTAAAGACCATATAGGCCCACAGCTATAATCATCCTTGATGAGGAAAAACAGAACTTTCCTTCTAAGGTCAGGAATACGGCAGGGATGCCCACTCTCACAACTGTTGTTCAACATGGTCCTGGAAGCCCTCGCCTCAACAAACAACAAAAAGAAATAAATACCCAAAATCCTCAAAGAAGAAGTCAAACTTTCACTCTTCGCAGATGACATGATGCACTATATAGAAAACACAAAAGACTCCACCAAAACATTGCTAGAACTGATAACATGAGTTCAGCAAAGCCATAGGATATAAAATAATTGCATAGAAATCTGTTGCATTTCTATGCACCAACAATGAAGCAGCAGAGAGAAATCAACAAATTGATCCTATTTACAACTGTACCCTAAACCATAAGTTACCAAGGAATAAACCTAACCAAAGAAGTAAAAGTTCTGTACTCTGAAAATTATAGAACATTTATGAAAGAAATTGAAGAAGACACAAAGAAATGGACAAAGATTCCATGCTCATGGATTGGAAGAACAAATATTGTTCAAGTGTCTATACTACCCAAAGCAACCTACATATTAAATGCAATTCCTATCAAGATACCACTACCACTTTTCACAAAGCTAGAACAAACAATTCTAAAATTTATATAGAACCAGAAAAAAACTCTGGAAAGCCAAAGTAATGAAAAAGAAAACAAATCCAGGGGCACCTGTGTGGCTCATTTGGTTAAGTGTCTGCCTTTGGCTCAGGTCATGATATCAGGGTCCTGGGACTCAGCCCTCCATTGGTGGGTGGTGGTGGGGGGGGTTCCTGCTCAGCAATGAGCCTGCTTCACTCTCTTTCTCTCTGCCCCTCTCCCCACCCATTCTCTCTCACTCTCTCATAAATAAATAAATAAATAATTTTAAACAAGAAAAGAAAAACAAAACTGAACCTGGAGGCATCACGAAAGCAAAGATGACTTATTGAGACCATAAGGATAAAAAGCATCTGCACAGCAAAGGAAACAGTTAACAAAACTAAAAGGCAACCTGCTGAATTGGAGAAGATATTTGTCAAAGACATATGAGATAAAAGGCTAATACCCAATATCCATAAAGAACTTATTAAGCTCAACACCCAAAAAACAAATAATCCAGTCAAGAAATTGGACGAAGACATAAACAGACATTTCTCCATAAAAGACATACAAGTAGCCAACAGACACATGGAAAAAAGCTCCACATCACTTGTTATCAGGGGAATACATATCAAGGACAATGAGGACAATGAGATACCTCTCAGCAGTCAGAATCACTAAAATTAAGAAGTTAGGAAACACAAATGTTGGTGAGGGTGTGGAGAAAGGGAAACCCTCTTACACTTTTGATGGGAATGCAAGCTATTACAGCCACTCTGGAAAACAGTATGGAGGTTCCTCAAGAAGTTAAAAATTGAGCTAGTCTACAACCCAGCAATTGCACTACTAGGTATTTACCCCACAAATGCAAATGATCCAAAGGGGCACCTGCACCCCAATGTTCATAGCAAAAATATCCACAATAGCCGAACTGTGGAAAGAGCTGAGATGTCCATCAACAGATGAATGGATAAAGAAGATGTGAGATTATACACACACACACACACATTTGAATGTTACTCAGCTATCAGAAAGGATGATTACTTACCACTTAGTTTGATGTGGATGGAACTGGAGGGTATTATGCTTAGTGAAATAAGTCAATAAGTGAAAGACAATTATCATATGGTTTCAGTATTATATGGACTATAAGAAACAATGCAGAGGATCTTAGGGGAAGGGAGGGAAAGCAGAATGGGAAGTCATCAGAGAGGGAGAAAATCCATGAGAGGCTCTTAACTATATAGGAAACAAACTGAGCATTGCCAAAGGGGAGGTGGGTGGGAGGGTGGGGTAATTGGACGATGAGCATAAAGGAAGGCATGTGATATGATTGGCTCTGGGTGTTATATGCAACTGATGAAATATGGAACAGTACATCTGAAACTAATGTTGTACTATATATTAACCAATTGAATTTACATTTTAAAAAAAAGTACTTAGCTGGGACGCCTGGGTGGCTCAGTTGGTTTTGCAGCTGCCTTCGGCTCAGGTCATGATCCCAGCATCCTGGGATCGAGCCCCGCATCGGGCTCCTTGCTCGGCAGGGAGCCTGCTTCTCCCTCTGCCTCTGCCTGCCACTCTGTCTGCCTGTGCTCTCTCTCTCTCTCTCTGACAAATAAATAAACAAAATGTTTAAAAAATAAAAAGAACTTAGCAAACAACACCCTAAAAACAAAAATTCCAGTAAAGAAATGGGTAAACAATGCTCAACATAATTAATCATCAGGGAAATACAAAGCAAGACCACAATGAGATTGCACTTCACACCTGTCAGAATGGCTAAAACAAACAATTCAGGAGACAACAGATGTTGATGACGATTCAGAGAAAGGGAACCCTCTTACACTTTTGGTGGGAATGCAAACTGGTGTGGCCATTCTGGAAAACAGTACGGAGATTTCTCAAAAAATTAAAAATAGTACCACCCTACCACCCAGCAATTGCACTACTAGGTATTCATCCAAAGGATACAATAATGGTGATTTGAAGGGGCACATGCATGCCAATGTTTATACCAGCAGTGTCCACAATAGCCAAAGTGTGGAAAGAGCCCATATGTCCACCCACAGATGAATGGATAAGGAAGATATGGTATATATGGAATGGAATACTACTCAGCCATCAGAAAGAATGAAATATTGCCATTTGCAATGATGTGGATGGAATTAGAGTGTATTATGCTAAACAAAATAAGTCAGCCACAGAAATCCACATATGATTTTGCTCATATGTGGAATTTAAAAAACATAACTGATGAACATATGGGTAGGGAAGGAAAAATAAAATAGGATAAAAACAGAGAGGGAGACAAATCATAAAAGACCCTTAACCATGGAAATATAAAAACAACAACAACAATCCAACAAAACCAAACCAAACAACAACAACAACAAACTGTTTTCTTTTGCAACTGGAAATATTTAAGTAAATCATAAAATTTAAAAACACAAGTAAAAGTGGCTTTAGAATTCAGGATGCCTGGGTGGCTCAGTCAGTTAAGGGTCTGCTTTCAGCTCAGGTTATGATCCCAGGGTACTGTGATCAAGTCCCATGTCAGGCTCCTTGCTCAGTGCGGAGCCTGCTTCTCCCTCTGCCTGCTACTCCCCTGCTTGTGTTCTCTTTCTCTTTCTCTCTCTGATGAATAAATAAAATCTTATATATAAAATCTTATATATAAAAAGAATTCATATAGCACATCCCACTATGAACTCCTTCAGATGAATCCTCTGTTAATGGCTGTGAATCCTTTGGTTTTTAAAGTACAGTGTTGGGGGGCACCTGGGTGGCTCAGGCATTAAGCATTTGCCTTCTGCTTACGTCATGATCCCATGGTCCTGGAATCGAGTCCCACATTGGGTTCCCTGCTCCTTGGGAAGCCTGTTTCGCCCTCTCCCACTCCTCCTGATTTTGTTACCTATCTGGCTGTGTCTCTCTCTGTCAAATAAATAAATAAAATCTTTAAAAAGGTAAAAACAATGAAGTCCAGTGTTGAGAATCTCACTATCTTCTTAGATAGTTCATTCCATTTTATTAGAAAATTCTGCCTTCAACTGAAAGAAAAACTATGTAAACTCCATTCATAGTTACTACTAATTATTCCCAGTACATTAGCAGAGAGTTTTAATCATAATTAACTATGCCTTTCTCATTTTTTTTCTGTTAGCCCAATATACACATAGTTTTAGTGCACCTTATCATATAAGAGCTAATTGGGCAAGTTGAAAAAGTTTTGAAAATGTTTTCTTTCATGCTAGTTTATTGTGAGAGTTAATCGAAGATTAACAATCACACACACACACTTATACATACACAATTTTGTGGGAAGAAGAAAATGAAAAATTTAGTTACATGAACCCCAAAGCCTAAGTTCACCTGAGCCCCCTTTCCTGAACACTGTTTCTGAATATTCCTTTTAGAACTAATTGGACTTTTAAATGTTACATTTTAGAGATCTAAGTCTATTTAAGGCTAACCACAGGAGTGGCCACACAAGTTTCCCTACCATCTATATCTATATATCTATATCTATAATCTCTAGCTATACCTATATCTTTAGCTAGTTTCTCTCTAGAAAAGAAATGGATGAGAGAGAGAGAGACTAGGCCACCTTCAAAACTTATCCAAAACGCCCTCTGGTGTTAGCATCAAGGGATAAATTAAGTCATCAAGTCAAAGTTAATAGTTACCATTATGTTGGGCATTTTAATGGGCTGGAGTTCATGGCAGGAACAACAGTTCTGGGGCACCTGGGTGGCTCAGTGGGTTAAGCCTCTGCCTTCGGCTCAGATCATGATCTCAGCATCCTGGGATTGAGCCCCACATCGGGTTCTCTGCTCAGTGGGGAGTCTGCTTCCCCCCAACCTCTGCCTGCCTCTGCCTACCTGTGATCTCTGTCTAATAAATCAAATCTTAAAAAAAAAAAAGGAACACCAGTTCTGTTATATGTGGTAACTAAGGGCTACTGAGCCTATTTCTCACTTTCAGTGACCACAAGTTGAACCCCAAAATTTCCTTTTCTTCTCATCAAGGTAGAAAAAGGTCTCTTCAAAGATCTTTTTTTTTCACCAGCACTCTTTATACCCAAATTATCTTTCTCTCCTGTGCTCTCTAATCTGTCATGTTATAGAACTATATGATTATATATCTCTCAATAGTGCCTTTAGAGAAAATGATTTTCTTTTATTCTTAACACGTGGGACCATAGAAGAGCAATTAAACGCCTAAATCACACGTGGTTTGGACTATGTCATCTGGATCTCAAGACCTCAATGTTTGTGGATTCTTCTGTGGGATCAGAGGGCACGCCTGCTGTAATCAGAAAACTCCAAGAATAGCATCAGGGATGGATGAACAGGCTCTTTTAGGGCTAAATCCAAATGCTGATTCAGACTTCAGACAAAGGGCCCTGGCCTATTTTGAGCAATTAAAGATTTCCCCAGATGCCTGGCAAGTGTGTGCAGAAGCTCTAGCCCAGAGGACATACAGTGATGATCACATAAAGTTTTTCTGTTTTCAAGTACTAGAACATCAAGTTAAATACATATATTCAGAACTAACTACTGTTCAACAACAACTAATTAGGGAGACGCTCATATCTTGGCTTCAAGCTCAGATGCTGAATCCCCAACCAGAGAAGACATTTATACGAAATAAAGCGGCCCAAGTCTTCGCCTTACTTTTTGTTACAGAATATCTCACTAGATGGCCCAATTTTTTTTTTTTTTTTACATTCTCTCAGTAGTGGACCTAAATCCAAGGGGAGTAGATTTGTACCTCCGAATCCTCATGGCTATTGATTCAGAGTTGGTGGATCGTGATGTGGTGCATACATCAGAGGAGGCTCGTAGTAATACTCTAATAAAAGATATCATGAGGGAACAGTGCATTCCAAACTCAGTGGAATCATGGTACCAAATTTTACAAAATTATCAGTATACTAATTCAGAAGTGAAATGTCAGTGCCTTAAAGTAGTTGGGGCTTATGTCTCTTGGATAGACTTATCCCTTATAGCCAATGATAGGTTTATAAATATGCTGCTAGGTCATATGTCAATAGAAGTTCTACGGGAAGAAGCATGTGACCGTTTATTTGAAATTGTAAATAAAGGAATGGATCCTGTTGATAAAATGAAACTAGTAGAATCTCTGTGTCAAGTATTATAGCTGCTGGATTTTTCAGCATTGACCAGGAAGAAGATGTTGACTTTCTAGCCAGATTTTCTAAGCTGGTAAATTGAATGGGACAGTCATTGATAGTTGGACTAAATTAATTAAGAATGGGGATATCAAGAATGCTCAAGAGGCATTACAAGCTATTGAAACAAAAGTGGTGCTGATGCTGCAGCTACTAATTCATGAGGATGATGACATCTCTTCTAACATTATTGGATTCTGTTACGATTATCTTCATATTTTGAAACAGCTTCCAGTGCTCTCGGATCAGCAAAAAGCTAATGTAGAAGCAATCATGTTGGCCGTTATGAAAAAAGTGACTTATGATAAAGAATATAACTTTGAAAATGAGGGTGAAGATGAAGCCATGTTTGTAGAGTATAGAAAACAACGGAAGTTACTGTTGGACAGGATTGCTCAAGTTTCACCAGAGTTACTGCTGGCTTCTGTGCGCCGAGTTTTTAGTTCTATGCTGCAGAATTGGCAGACAACACATTTTATGGAAGTTGAAGTAGCAATAAGATTGCTGTATATGCTGGCAGAAGCTCTTCCAGTGTCTCATGGTGCTCACTTCTCAGGTGATGTTTCAAAAGCTAGTGCTTTGCAGGATATGATGCAAACTTTGGTAACATCAGGAGTTAGTTCCTATCAGCATACATCTGTGACATTGGAGTTGTTCGAAACTGTTGTTAGATATGAAAAGTTTTTTACAGTTGAACCTCAACATATTCCATGTGTATTAATGGCTTTCTTAGATCATAGGGGTCTGCGGCATTCTAGTGCAAAAGTATGGAGCAGAACTGCTTACCTGTTTTCCAGATTTGTCAAATCTTTGAATAAAAAGATGAATCCTTTCATTGAGGATATTCTGAATAGAATACAAGATTTACTAGAGCTTTCTCCACCTGAGAATGGTTACCAGTCTTTGTTGAGCAGCGATGATCAACTATTTATGAGACAGCTGGAGTGCTGATTGTTAATAGTGAATATCCAGCTGAACAGAAACAAGCCTTAATGAGAAATCTGTTGACCCCATTGATGGAGAATTTTAAAGTTCTGTTAGAAAAATTGATGCTGGTACAAGATGAAGAAAGACAAGCATCACTAGCAGACTGTCTGAACCATGCTGTTGGATTTGTCAGCTGAACCATGCTGTTGGATTTGTCAGCTGAACCATGCTGTTGGATTTGTCAGCTGAACCAGCAAAGCTTTCAGCAACAAGCAGACTGTGAAACAGTGTGGCTATTCCAAAGTTTTTCTGGACTGTTTACAGACATTCTTGCCAGCTCTCAGTTGTCCCTTGCAAAAGGATATTCTCAGAAGTGGAGTTCATACTTTCCTTCATCGCATGATTATTTGCTTAGAGGAAGAAGTTCTTCCATTCATCCCGTCTGCCTCAGAACACATGCTCAAAGATTGTGAAGCAAAAGACCTCCAGGAGTTCATTCCTCTTATCAACCAGATTACAGCCAAATTTAAGATACAGGTATCTCCATTTTTACAGCAAATGTTCATGCCTCTACTTCATGCAATTTTTGAGGTATTGCTCCGACCAGCAGAAGAAAATGACCAGCCTGCTGCTTTAGAGAAGCAAATGTTGCGAAGGAGTTACTTTGCTTTCCTGCAGTCACAGGCAGTGGAATGAGCGAAGTCATAGCAAATCAAGGTGCAGAGAATGTAGAACTAGTGCTGGTGACTGTTATCCAAGGAGCAGTTGAATATCCAGATCCAATTGCACAGAAAACCTGTTTTATCATCCTCTCCAAGTTGGTAGAACTCTGGGGAGGTAAAGATGGACCAGTGGGATTTGCTGATTTTGTTTATAAGCACATTGTCCCCGCATGTTTCCTAGCACCTTTAAAACAAACCTTTGACCTGGCAGATGCACAAACAGTGTTGGCTTTATCTGAGTGTGCGGTGACATTGAAAACAATTCATCTCAAATGGGGCCCAGAATGTGTTCAGTATCTTCAACAAGAATATCTGCCTTCCTTGCAAGTAGCTCCAGAAATAATTCAGGAGTTTTGTCAAGCACTTCAACAGCCTGATGCTAAAGTTTTTAAAAATTACTTAAAGGTATTCTTCCAGAGAGCAAAGCCCTAAGGACTGGATCTCCCTGTGCCTACTTTATGATCAGGAATTCCAGTTGATTTATAAGGAAGCAGTTTTGTGTGCCATTCACACTGGTCTTTTTAACATTGCTTTAAGCTTATTGCAGTATATGTATTGGGATTTCTCTGTAAAATGGATGTAATTTTCTCTTAATATAGGTATGTGACAAAAAGAGAAGTTGCTTGCATGCCCGTTCAAATTTGTTCTATATAAAAATGCTGTTAAAAGATACAGCACGGTTATTCTAGTACCTTTTATTTTTTTAACTTGAAGTGTTAAATCCTTTATAAAGACCATAGCAGGAAAACAGTGTACTTTTTTTTTCAATTGCTAAATATAAAATGTTTGAAAATTTTTATTTTCTTTTATGTGTGTTGTCTCAAAATATGGGGGGAATATAACAAACCAAAACTAACTTTTCGTAGATAGCCATTACATTTCTTTAAACTATTTCGATGCCAATGTGGGTTCTACAGAAGAGAATAGTTTCATAAATTAACTGATTTAAGAGTAGGTACCGGTGTTATACACTTTTTCTAAAAAAATAAAAATAAATTTTATGTAGTGAAAAAAAAAAGAGTGTTTTGACCTGAAGAAACTACTCTTATTTGTCTATTTTCTCTTATTGTTTTTATAATTTCTGGATGTCTTCTAAGAGATCATGTGTATGCATTAATACATTATTATTATTATTAAATGATTTTATGTATTTGAGAGAGAGATGGAGAGAGCACAGAGAGAAAAATGGAGAAACAGACTCCTGGATGAGCAGAGAGATTGATGTAGGGCTTGATTGCAGGACCCTAAGATCATGACCCAAGCCAGAGGCAGATGCTTAACCAACTGAGCCACCCAGGCATTCCTGTATTAATACATTATTAATCAGTTCTGCTAACTTATGGATTTCAACTTGACTTCTGTCATTTCTAACATCCTGTTATTAAATAAATCACCCCGCTGATCTTAATGGAGACAATTTATGAGCTTGCCAAATATCTGAAAAACACATAATCACCAACATATTATGAATTTGCATAACACTGCTAGAAGTAGTGTTAACCAGCTTTCTGAGAATCAAACTCTCAAACATTAACTAAATCTCTATGAAAATATCTTTCCATATAAACTTAGAATTTGTTTCAACAACTGGTTATTAAACATAGTAATTTCTATTTTACTTCTTTTGCATGTTCTCTACTATGAAATTAAGTTACAATTTCTCCAGATTTTCTATCTTTAACAGCATGTCTCAACCTTTTATAAGTGTACTGGTAAGAATGCTATCTTCTTGCTGATCAGTGTGGTCATGGTAATCAATAAAAATACTTAAAGCTGGATTTTTCTAGCCAGACTGCCTGGGCTTGAATCCTACCTCCATTACTTCCTAGGTTGGTGATTTGGGGAAATTTACTTAGTGTTTCTGGGCTTTCATTTCCTTACCTAGAAAACAGGATATAAAGAAATGTATTTCATAGGGCTCTTTTGCTACATATATTCAAATGCTTACATTAGTACCTAGTATGTAATAAGAATTTAATAAACCTTGTTGATCATCTTTTTAGATTACATACATGGCCATCAGATGGACTATAAATGTAATATATTAGCTATCGCTGAACATAAAAAATAATTTAAACCAATTATCAAAATGATTAAAATAATTTTATAAAATATATGGAGGGTCATTTAATTTTTCAGAAAAAAATAGCTAAACATAATTGATTTTTTCAGAATTTGATTTTATTACTTCATTTTCTAATTCAAATTTACTAAAATGTATAGAAAATAGACTGTTCATTACCATTTATATTAGGTCTCATTTAATCGGATTCAGTTAATGGTCTTTAAGTTCTCTAAAACTATAAAAACATTTTTAAATGCCCTAAGACTTCTATATGTAGGGGTTAACCTAAACTAAAATAAAAGTTGATGCATATGCATTTATCAAAAATGCTTGATTCATTTACTTTTTGATGTTCACATGCTTATGCAATTCATTTGTTCCCCTAATCTACCTTTAGCATTTGATTAATTTTATATCCTGGAGTGGTGAATTCTCTAAGTTGAAATATGCTACTTAATGTCAATTTCAAGGATATTCAGAGTACAATACTTGAAAAGAAATGAACATGTCTCTGTCTATTTCAGAGCATGTATCATTCATTATGACCTTTTACCCATCACATTTATATTCTCAGCTAAATTGAGCCAACAATTCATTTCCTGCTATAGAGACATTTTGCTCACAAACCAAACCACTAATTGTTGAACTGCAGTTTGAAGGTGTCTGAAAGTGTACTGTCTGGGCAAACTCCTGTTAAATTTCAAGTTCAGTAAATATCACAAAATCCTTATTTCCTGCTTCTCAGAGTAATATCTGTATTCAATTTAAGCCTCCAAATTTGTTTCTTGATTAACAATAGTTAATTGTATAGTTCCTTGTGTTTGATGAAATTAATCATAGAACTTTTGGCATCATCCCTATTGAAAACAACCACTCCTTACATAATATATATGAATAAATGAGCTTCTCAACATGATAGAAGGCTATATTCTTACTATGGGTGCCTGCAAAGAATCTAAATCACAAAAGCCAAGTTTGATTAGGTTGTTCATTTTATTAACATAATGAGGTAAGTGTTAGTGCAGCAGTCAAGAACATATTCATAGGCTGCTGTCATACTGAGAACAGATAAGGACAATCACTAAAATAAACCTTGAAACTTAATATCCAATCTAAGTGTCTGTTTGTTTTAACTTTTTAGTTTTTAACTGAAAAATAGGTACAGATAAATATATGTATTTTTATCTGGCCAGTTATTTGGACTATAAATAAAGCTAAATCTGTTTTGACATTGCACTGGACAGATAATTAATACTCCCCTAGTAACTATGGGGCTCTGAGTACAATCCTTTCTCCTTCATACCCTTATGAATTATGAAGCCTATTCATGACTAAGCTAATACCTACTTAAGTAGCATAACAGAACCTGAAAATGGACTCTGTAGGTGTTATATTGCCTCTCTCAGTATTCTCGGTAGGTTTTTTGTTTTTGTTTCTGTTTTTGCATGCCTTCCCTAGCTGTCATCAGTCATCTGCAATGGGGTAAATTCTCAGAAAGGCTGTGAAAGATATCAAAGATACAATGCATGAGCTTAGACAAGTCCTCTAAGTTCTCTGGTTTCCTGGGATACTTCATCAATGAAGGAAAGAATTAATTAAGAAACCCCTTCTAGTTTTGTGAGTCTAAAATCTCTGCCATTGATAGTACATGGTTACAATATCGGTTTTATAACAAGATTTAAAAAAATATTTTAATCATCTTTGAAAAGCAGTGTGCTTAATTGTTAAAAGCATGGCTTCTAGAACCAAAAAGCTTGGATCCCATCCTTACCACAGGTTCTCAGATCGTCAGCAAATTATCTGAACTCTCTGTTCTTCTGTTTTCTCATATATAGAATGGGAAGGTAATAGAATCTATATCATATATTTATTGTGAAAATTAAATAAATTAACATATATAAAGTCTTTGACAGACGGTGAATTTGTTATGTAATGTAACTGCCAATGAAAATAACCTGGAATCATATTTGACTACATTATCACTATTTTTCTGAGAATTTTCCAAAAATATTGTCTTGTTTTGAAGAACATTCAGATATTCAGGACAAATATGTGGTGTGTGTGCATGTGTGAGTGTGTGTTAATTTCTCATCACTGATGTAACAAATTGTCACAGGCTAATGGTTTAATACAATAAAAATATTATAATTCTGGAGCTCAGAAGTCTGAAATAAGTCTTGCTGGGCTAAACTCAAGGTGTCAGCATAACTGTTCCTTTCTGGAGGCTCTAGAAAAGAATCCCTTTCCTTCTTTTAGAGGCCACTCACATTCCCTTAGATTATAGCCCTTTTCCTCCATCTTCAAAGCCTGCATCAGTCAGCATTTCTAACTTCTCTCATCTCTATGGCCTCTTTGTTTGTCCCTCTCTTCCACATTTAAGGAACTTATTGATTACATTGGATCCACCTGGATAATTCAGGATACCTGCCATAAAATCAGTTGGTTAGCAACCTTAATTCTACCTGTAAGCTTAATTCTCCTTTGCTAACTAAGATATCATATTCACAGGTTCTAGGAATTGTGACATGGACAACTTTGGCAAAATATTATTCTTTATAATAAAATCGGTCTTTCTACATGGAAGTGTACAAAATATGATTTTTTTCATTATTTCAGGCACCTCTTTCTTTTGATTTAGAATTTTCAGAAAGCGTTTTTTGTCTGTGTGGAATTATAGATCCTCTGAATGTTGTTTAAGAGTGAGAGGTATGCTGCTAAAATATTTTTAATTTCTGAAAGATATTTATAATAGAAGCCCCAAATTCTGTCATCTAAAGTATTATAAGAATTGCTGTTATAGTCTCAAAATTAAGAGCTGAACTGACTTTGTTTAAATAAAATGCTTATCATTTATTAACTATGTCATCTTCAGCAAGTCACTTAACCATGCTATGTCTCCATTCCCTAACCTGTAAAACAGAATTACCTAATAAGAAAATATATGTCAATAGACCAGGATCTGGCACTCAGCTAAGTGTTATATACATGTTAGCCATTATTACTGAGTTATAACAAATTTTGGAATTATTTAAAATGCATAATTTACTACAAATACATTACAAAAATTAGTAGTAATAGATCTTGACTGACTTCAGAACTACTAACTATATTATGGAACAAAGTCTCATTTTAAAAAATGGAAATTTTATATGTGCATGTGTAATGCCAAACAAATACAGACTAAAATAAGAGATATTTATGTATGGTAGAAAACACTGAGTCATAAAATGGCTGAGATATTATGTGCTATCATCTTCAAAATGAAATGTGATTAAATATTTCTAAGAAGAGAGATATACTGGGGGCAAGTTAGCAAAAGGGAAATTTGTCCACAAGCCAGCCATCACTGGAGATTCTGCAGAAAATTTTATTAGCAATTTTTGAGTAATATTTTGATTCTGTCTGGAAATCCATTTAGCCAAAAGCATTTGTAGATCTA